CTCTCTGATACATGCTCCTACATGGATGAATCTTGAACACATTATGCTATGTGAGAGATGCCTGATTAAAAAAAAACAAATACTGTATGATTCTATGTGAATGAAATATCTAGAACAGGCAAGTTCACTAAGATAAAGAGTAGAATCGAGGTTACCAGCGGCTGGGTAGAGTGGGTAATGGAGAGTTACTCTTCAGTGGTTTAGTGGTTGTAGAGGATTTCTCTTTGGAATAGTGAAAAAGTTCTAGAATGAAGGTGGTCATGGTTGCACAACCTTTTGAATGTAATACCTACTAAACTCTATACTTAAAATGGTTAAAACGGCAGAACTTTATAGTGTATGTGTTTTACCGTTAATGTAATATCCATAAACCATTGAATTGTACGCTTTAAATGTGCAAATAGTATGATGTGAATAGTAGCTCAATAAGGCTGTTTAAAAAATACTTTTCAGTTGCTGTGATCATATGCTACAAGGGCTTTTTACCCGGTGGTGTTAGATTGCTAGGGCTGCCACAAATCACCGCGCACTGGGTGGCCTCAAAAACCGGAATTTATTGTTCCGATTATTGCAACTAGATGTCCGAAGCAGTGATGGTGGAGTGATGATAGTTTGGGTTGCTTGGTTTACCTGTCATCTCGACCTCTGCTTTCTTTCTGTGTGCCAGATTGGGAGTCCATATTTCTTTTCATAAGGACACAGTTACATTGGAATAGGGCCCAGCCTAAGACCTCATTTAAGTCAGTGACCTTGGTAAAGACTCTACTTTTTTTTTTTTCCCATTCTTACGGAGATATGATTGACAAACAAAACTCGCGTATACTTAGGGTGTAACGTGATGTTTAGGTATACATGTACATTGTGAAACATGTACGAGGTATTAACGTAAATAAAACAAGGTAATTAACATAGCCTCACTTTATTTTGGGTGAGAACGGTTAAGATCCACCCCCTTAGAAATCTAAAGTATACAGTTCAGTCTTGTTAACTGCATTCACCCTGCTTCATGTCACATCTCCAGAACTTATTCATCCACATATGTGGAATTTCTGTATCCTTTGACCCACACTCTCCCCTTCCCTCACCCTCCCAGCCCTGGGCAGCCACCATTCTCCCCTCTGCTCCACAGAGCTTCACTGTGTTAGATTCCACATACAAGTCAGATTAGATAGTATTTGAGAACATATTTTAAAATATGATCATATTCTAAGGTACTAGTGGTGGTTAGTGCCTTAACGTGAATTTGGGAAGGATACAATTCAACCCTTAACACATGGATTTTGTTTCAAGTTAACACTTGAAAGTGCGATACAAGCTCTTACACTCATTACCGAACTGTCACAAACATAACCTTCATAATTATGGAAAAATATCCACTCATTCAAGCCTCTGCTGTTAAATATCTTTCACCTTTGCAGGATTATCATTACCATGAACACTTCTGTGCACTGCTTTTTTTAAATATTATTTCTTATAACAGATGCCTAGAAATGAAATTGTCAGATCACTTCGAAGCGCTTGATATGGGCCACAAATTGTTGAAAGTAGAAGAGGCATTTATTTCTTGCCTTATTAGTAGACTTTTTATTAATCATATTTTTTCTTTGCGAATTACTGCTTTAAGTCATTTGCCTTTTTAGTTTTATAATCTGAATGTTTCTCTTACAATTCCCTTTGCATAGTGAAAAAGTATATTTCTTAAAATATATATATTTTCTACTACTATATTAATTTATCATTTGCCCTTTTTTTTTTAATGTTTATTCATTTTTGACAGAGCATGGGCAGGGGCGGGGGGCAGAGAGAGAGGGAAACACAAAATCCGAGGCAGGCTCCAGGCTCTGAGCTGTCAGCCCAATGCGGGACTCGAACTCACACGCTGTGATATCATGACCTGAGTTGAAGTCAGACACCCAACCGACTGAGCCACCCAGGTGCCCCATATCATTTGCCCTTTAATTTTGGTCTTGTTTTGTTTTCAAATTATAGGACGTTTGTTCTTATTTTTTTCAGTGTTTCTCTTACTGCTTCAAAGTTTGGCCTATCCTTTGTTCAGAGTTTGTTAAGTATTCAGTTCTGCCTTTTCTTGCATGTTTTCTATTGGGTTTAAAAATATTTAACTCTAGGGGTGCCTGGGTGGCTCAGTTGGTTAAGCATCTGACTTTGGCTCAGGTCATGATCTCACAGTGTATGGGTTCAAGCCCCGCATCAGGCTCTGTACTGATAGCTCGGAGCCTGGAACCTGCTTCCATTTCTGTGTCTCCCTCTCTTTCTGCTCTTCCTCCACTCACACTCTGTCTCTTTCTCTCAAAAATAAATAAAAACCTTTCCTTAAAAGTTTTATAGTATGTTTTAATATTGGAAAAGAACATTCTTCTCTCTCCCTCTTTACTCTTTTTTCCTCCAAGATTTTCTTTGGCGTTTTTCCAAGTAGGTTTTTCCTGTGTCCTGGGAACATCTGACTCCACCTGCCACCCCCATTTCCCATAGTTAATTTTTTATTTTTATAAGAATATAATTTGAGAAATAGTAAATACATATACATTTAATCTTTTCTTTCAAGTAGTTGATATTTTTTGTATATTGTTTCAAGTCTTCTTTTAGGTCTTTTGTAAAGACATTTCCTTTCTTCATGTAATTTTCAGATAAATTACTCTCTTGTGATTCCTCACATGTCTCTATTAGTTTCTTGTAATTTTTGTTTGATTTTTTTTAAAGCAGTGAGCTTTTTTTACTATGTTCTATCCTTGCTCACTCCACTCTCCAGAAGTACTGTGGATTTGTGTTTATCTTACATGCAGATGTTTTACTCAGTTCTGCCACTTTTTTGTGGATTTATTTACATTTTCTGGGTGAAGAATTATATGGAAATTATAGTGGAATTATAGTGGTTGTATCTCTTTCCTTTCTAATCATTTCTTGTGACTATTGCACATGTTACTTGGTCAACCAGAATATTTAAAAACTAATGCTGCAAAATAAGAGATCATGAAAGACACCCTTTCTGTTGTTATTATTCCTAAATCTTTTGTGTGTATTTCTGGGGCTTCACCGGTATGCATTTTGTCTGATAGCTGGAAAAGGGGTACTTTTTAAGTTAGGAGAATTATTTCATTGCTTTTTGTTTTATTATGGGACTTGGGGTGGTATTTGCACTTGGTATTGGATTTTACTGAATACATTTGGGCATGGGTACCTACTGAGATTATATGGGTTGATTTTTTTTTTACATTTATTAATAAATTTACTAATACTGGGGCACCTGGGTGGCTTAGTTGGTTAAGCGTCCGACTTTCGCTTAGGTCATGATCTCGCGGTTCGTGGGTTCGAGCCCCGCGTCGGGCTCTGTGCTGGCTGCCAGCTCAGAGCCTGGAGCCTGTTTCAGTCTGTGACTCCCTCTCTCTCTGACCCTCCCTTGTTCACGCTGTCTCTCTCTCCTAGAAATAAATAAAAAAAACATTTAAAAAAAAATAAATAAATAAATTTACTAATACTAAATTACCTTCAATACCTGTCAGAAGACGTGTTCTTTTGTGGCAGATTGTTTCTTTTTTACATATGGTTTCATTTCATCAACGTTTGATTTCAGTTTCCTTACACCCTCATCAGCAAGTGACTTGAGCAAGTCTTCTTTCAGCGGTATCTCTGTCAGCTCTTGCCGTCGAGGCAGTTGAAACTTGAGTGCGTGCTGCAGCTCTCCCAGCAGCCACAGTGTGCGAGGCAGGGCAGCAAACTGAGGTGTTCTTGAGGTGATTCTAAAAGGGAATAGGTAAGTGGTCGGTGCCACAGATGTCGGTGTAGACGTCGTGTTTGTGCAGATGTGTCCAAGACAGAATCCGACCCGCGTGGCTCTCCCCACTTTGCCCAGGGTGGGTGCGCCAGGCCGCCCCAGACACGGCTGTACATCTGGGTCCTGCCCGGGGTAGGCACGGCGTGAGTAGGTTTTTAGTAAACGGTTAACTATTCCAGTGGATACCCCAGTCCTTTCTGCAACCCAGTGGACATCTTTGGTTTGTTTGAGTTTTTTTTAAAGGTAGGTACCTCAGATGTGAGGAAGTGAGGACAGTTTTCTTTCAACTATAAATCAACTACTATTCACAGTTTTTCTGCCCTTAATACTATTTTCAAAAACCAGAGACAGTGTCCTCCAGGGTATAATTCCCTGTTGTCGCTAAACATAAACCCAGGTTTTTTGGGCTTTAAAGCTTTTCTTGTTGATGACCTGGAAACGTCGATAGCTTATAACAAAGTCATAGAAAAGTTTTGTAGCTCAGGGGGTCTTAAATGGTCATGACCTCTGTCTGTGTCTGTTAACCCTTGAGCACCGTCTGGAAGAAACTTTGGACTTTGCATTTTCCTTTCACCTTATTACTGAGAAGATACTTCATCCTAATTTCTAAAAGGGTGGCTTTCAACTAAATTTCTCCTCCCTGATGCCCTACCTGAATGCCAAGAGGCCTCTCATTTTTTCCAGCGGCTGTGAAGATGTTTGTTCAGACCTTTGTCCTTCTCCAAGGACCACTGGAGAAGCCTCCTTTCTTTCCTTTCTGTACATTCTAGCTCTCTCATTCCCCCCGCCCCCAAATTTGTGTCTTCTAAAGACACAAACGTATTTATAATGCTTTATTGGCTCCACATCAGAACTAGGGTGTGGTTACATTTTTCCCTCACTCCATACACCAGCAATGATTGTGTATAAATGAGAAATTTAAATATAAGCCAGTAACTATATAAGTACCAGCAGAAATTCCAGATACATATATAATTTTGCTAGGAAGAAGGCTGTAAAGTACAACATTAAGGGAATACGTACTGATGACGATATTTGCAATCTGTAGCTGGCCAAAGGTTAATAGCCTTAATAAAGAAAGATTTTTTTATGCGATGATGTACAACAACAACAGGTATATAAGCAGTTCTTTATGTTACAGAGAGAAGTTATTGTTTGATATTTTGTTATTCATATTAGATGAACCACTTTTTTGTTATTACTTCTATAGCAAAAACAAATTACTCACTCACCAGGACTGTGCAGCATAGAGCATCAGCAAGAGATCACCAAACTAAAGACCGATTTAGAAAAGAAAAGTATCTTTTACGAAGAAGAATTGTCTAAAAGAGAAGGAATACACGCCAACGAAATTAAAAACCTGAAGAAAGAACTTCACGACTCAGAAGGCCAGCAACTTGCTCTCAACAAGGAAATTATGATTTTGAAAGACAAATTGGAAAAAAACCGGAGAGAGAGGTAAGCATCAAGTTATTTCCCCCTCCCGTCAGTATCTCGTGACCGCCAGCGGTGTGTTCAGGGGCTGGAGATATGCAGGTGGCACACGCACCCCAGTCTTCAAGGAGTCCTTAGTCCTCAGTGCACATACTTGGTCCTCAAGGAGCCCATAGTCCATGTTAGCAAACCGAGAATGACAGCGGGTCGGGAGAGCAGACGGGATGTGCAAGTGTAAGCGGAAGGGCGGACGCAGCCGTGAGGCACGAGAGGTAACTTTGGATGTCGAGGTTTTCTGGACTAAATTCTATCTGACACCAAACAAATAGAACTTCTCTAACTGTGGGAGGGAGTCCAGAGGTAGCAAAACGGGCTGAGATGGGGAGGAAAAGGGGAGCACAACACATCCCGAAGATCAGGGCTGTTCCCTGCGGTGGAACCACAGAAAGACAGATGAGAGCGTGGGAAGCGGGGCTGGGGAGGGAAGTAGCGGCAAGGTCGTGAAGGAGGAAGGAATTGGGACTTCGTGCCGAGGCCGCTGAGGGCAGGTGACGGAGCGGTGCCCGTGGTGCCGTGCAGAGCAAGACTGACGGGAGCAGGTGGCAGGGAGGACCTGTTGGCCAAGACGAGCAGGCCCGCAGGAGCTGCCCGGGCGGGGGGCGGCGGGGGAGGAGGGTGTGAGGTCCAGGAGGATGTCTGGCCCTCCATGGCCACTGTGGAGTCTGCTGAAAATTCTCTCTCTCCCTTTACCTCTCTCCCCACACACATGCTTGTGCGCTCTCTCACGCACTCTCTCTAAAAAAAAAAAAAAGAAAAAAATAGGTAGATTGATCTCATTTATATAGCAACTCCATGTTTGAACACTGATTCCCCTTTCTCCCTAGGTGGCTTCTACAAAGTCTGTTAGAACTCTTTTTGCCTCTAAGGGTGAATCAGCTGTGCCCCTCAGAACTATCACTTTAAATAAGTTTTATAGGTGGCTCCTGGGTGGCTAAGTCAGTTGAGCTTCTGACTTCAGCTCAGGTCATGATCTCACAGTTGGTGAGTTCGAGCCCTGCATCAGGCTCTGTGCTGACAGCTCAGAGCCTGGAGCCTGCTTCGGATTCTGTGTCTCCCTCTCTCTTTGCCCCTCTCCTGCGTGCTCACTCTGTCTCTCTTTCTCTCTCAAAAATAATAAATAAACAAGTTTTATAATATTAAGTTTTTGCGTGTGTGCATATGTGTGTAGGTAGGTAGGTACATACTTAGGGAAGAAGGAAGGAAGGGCTGAATATATCGCGAGAACTATTGGAAATGTCACTGAGGATTTGCTGCCACTCTTGAGCTGAGAAGGAATCATATGGCGCCCCCTCTTTGCCTCCACCCCACCTTTCCCCATACTTGATGGTATGTATGCAGCCACATAAAGCAAGCGCAGTCATGAAGTCTTCCAATCACAGATGCCTTCCTCAGAGTTTCAAATGGAAAACAAAGTAGATGTTGTTGGGCAGACAGACCTATGAATTAAAAGGAAATGATTGTAACTTTTAATTTTAAGGGGGTAGATTGGGAGTTGGCACATTCAAGATGGTGCAGCTTTTCAGAGTGAACATGGAACGGCCTCCAGTCTGGGATATCATCGTTTTACCCTTAACTCACTTCCTGTTTTCTCCTCTTCTGTTTTGAATTGTGTTAGTCAAAGCGAAAGGGAAGAATTTGAAAATGAGTTCAAACAGCAGTATGAACGAGAAAAAGTATTGTTAACTGAAGAAAATAAGAAACTGACAAGTGAACTTGATAAGGTGAGTGATACAGTCTGACCTCCGTTCCCTGCACAGGCGCTAGATGTCCAGCACGGTGACAGAAATCGTAGGCATGATCTTATGCTCGGTACACCACTTGGGTTCAGTACCCTTCTTAGATGCGAGGACTGCTTGCGTGGCTCAGGTGGGGTCTCCTTACGCCTGCCCATGCAGGCTTGCTTATCTTACCGTCCTCTTTGCCCCATTTATTTGTTGAGCCTCTCCGCTTTCTTTCGCTCTCCATCTGTTCTCTTTTTACTCCTTCCTCTCCTGTGTGTCACTTATTCTGTCATGGCTGTCGAAGTTAAGCTGGCCCTCGGCAAGCGCAGGAACAATTAGGCCACCCTGGAATGCTTTTGACAACCATGAGATCATGTTCATGGTGGAGAACTGCTCGTAGCTACAAGTCGTATCATTGGAAGCCAGGAATCCAGAGAAACCCACTCTGCCTGTGGGCGCCTGGGGGCTCAGTCTGTTAAGCGTGCAACTCTTGACTTCGGTCATGAACGTGTAGCTGTTGCAACATGGCCAGGCAAAATCTGTCTTTCCTGTCCTTCTTGCAAAAGTCTAGTTGACATCACTCACAAATTAGTTGGACAGGCTGTCAGAAGCAAGGATAATCAAAAAAGGTATGTTCTAGGAATTGGCGGAGATGTCGCATCTGCCAAAAGAAATTTCAGAAACAACTGGTAGGCTTCTGGCTATGCCCACATGAAGAGACTGATGAATCCTCTCAAGAAAACATTTCAGGGTGGACACGATTGTGAGAAACAACGATTTCGAAGCCCTGGGAAGTAAAGAGAGGAACTCGTTACATAACTGAGTTACATATGTAACTCGTTACATAACATCGCTGACATAAATGAAGGAATGTCTGACCAGATGGGGAGACGTACTCCGTTAATGGGCGAAAGACACAGATGAGGAGGAAGCATTTGCAGATCACTTATCTGATAAGAAACATATTCAAGATGGAGGAAGAACTCTTAATACTCAATAATAAGTAAATACAAACAACCCATTGAAAACAATGGAAATTTTTGAATAGACATTTCATGAAATATCTCTGGGTGACAAATAAGCTCGTGAAAAGATGTTCGGTGTTGTCAGGAAAACAAGTAGAAGCCACGGCCACATGCTGCTCTTCACCCTCAGGAATGGGCTGAATCCATAGAGTGACCATACCTGCTGTTGGCAGGGACACGGACAAGCTGAAAATCCTGCATGCATGTAGGCATGGAAGGTGGTGCAGCCACTTTAGAAAATAATTTCAAAAATCCTCAAAAAGTTTAGCATACGCTTACCACATAACCCAGAAATCCTCGTACATATTCATTTAAAAGAATTTAAAAGAGTCCTTTTCAAGACTTGTATATGAATGTGCATAGCATCATTCTTCACAATAGCAAACCACCAGAAGCAATACACATGTCCACCAACTAGCACCTGGGCAAGTAAAGTTTACTACTATCCATATGATCGCACAGTACTCAGCTGTAGAAAGGAATGGATTTCTGATAACGTGCAACACTATGGTTGAACCTCAGTAATATGAGGAGGCATTACATTTCTAGGAAAAGCAAAACTGCAGAAGCAGAAAACAGATCTGCGACGCCTGGAACTCAGGGTGGGAGCCAGGATTGACTGCAAACCAGCACAGGGGAAGTTTCTCGTACTGGAAGCGAACCAGAACGGGATTGTGGTGATTGTCACACAACCGCTTAAATGTATTAAAGATCATTGAACCATAGTCTTGTAATGGATGAATGTTATTATACGTGAAGTATACCTCAGTAAATCTATAAAAGAAAAGAGCTGGTAAAGTACGTTTTCAGATGTGAGTGGCACCCCTTGAGGTACAGAACTTAAATCCCTTCTTAATACGCAGATGAGGGTGTATGTTGGCCTTGATAGCTTCTCTGGACCCCATTTCGTTCTGAGAAGACCATGGACATGGGGTTAAACGGATTACAGCTGCATTCCCTTGATAGTGGAAGAAATGAAACCGCACTATGACTCGTGCCGGAACTGTCTATCTCTCACAGAAGACAGGCCAAAACGCACGCGAGAAAAACCCTGGGTCATTAGGAGAATTCCTGACATATGTAAGTGGAGGAATTGACACGTGTGGCCTGTAGCCACATCCGGCTCTCAGACTGTTTCTTTATGACCCATGAATTAAGAAGAGTTTTTACACGTTTAGGTAGGTTTTTCTAAGAAGAACAAGATGTGATGGACACCATGTGTGGCCACAAAACCAGAAATACGTACTATCTGATGCTTTGTTGGGAAGTTTGCAGACCCCTGATTTAGAACATAGTTCTAGCCTGTGTTAGAAACTGAACGAAACATACACAAACATACACACACGTATGTGTAAAGATACTAAGTATAAGGAATTTGCTTACCTGATTATGGAGGCTGACAAGTCCCAGTACCTGCAGTTTGCAGCCTGGGGACCTGAGGGCGCCTACGGTATAGTTTCCGTCTGAGTCCAAAGGGCTTGAGAACCAGGAGGAGCTGCTGCTTGAATAAGAGTCCAAAGGCAGGAAAAACGGTCATTGCAGCTTGAAGACGTTGAGAAAGGAGGATATTGACTCTCTTGGGTCAGTCTTTTTGTTCTTTGGGCCTTTGGGTGATCGGGATGGGCCCACTGTGTTAGGGAGGGCAGTCTGCTTTAGTCACTCCACTGACTCAGATGTTAATATCATCCAGAGGCACCGTCACAGACACGCCCAGAGTGATGTTTGATCACACATGTGGATACCTTGTGTGGCCCAGCCGGCTTAGCACATACAGTTAACCATCACCTGGCCCCTCCTCTCCACGAACCTGTAAATAGCTCTTCTAGGAATGGGGCGCCTGGGTAGCTCGGTCTGTTGGGCGGCTGACTTTGGCTCAGGTCATGATCACGCGATTCATGGGTTCAAGCCCTGTGTCGGGCTCTGTGCTGACAGCCAGCTCAGAGCCTGGAGCCTGCTTCGGATTCTGTGTCTCCCTTTCTCTCTCTCTCTCTTCCTCCCTCCCTTATGCTCGCTCGCTTGCTCTCTCTCTCTCCCTCCCTCCCTCAAAAATGAATAAATTTTTTTCAAAAAAAATTTTTAAGTAGCCCTTCTAGGAAACACTCATCTCCTTCCAGTTGAGTAATCAAAAGGAAATGAACACTGTATCTCTATAAAACATGCCAAAAGCAAGACAGGAATCCTAACTAACGCAAGTTGAGACCATTTATCAGAGAAAATGTAACCGTGAGATAAAAATTGAATGTAAGTATTTTATCATAAATTTTTAAAAACATATTAAAGCAGGAATTTTTGCTTCTGACCGGGACAGATTAATTTGCATCATACCCACCACCTCTCCAAGAGCTGGATTTCTTTTTTAATTGTTTTCATTTCCCACCGTGTTTGTCTGCAGCAAGGCATTGGAGAGATAGGAGGGCAGTCTTGTTTACTGACCGAGATCCTACAGAGGAGAGGGCAGGGAGCTGAGCCAGCACTCAGTGCTTGCCCTTGAGGCATTTGCTGATGGGAAAGCAGTAGCTGACAGGCCAAGAAGCTAAGCACAGTATTCCAGGTTCTCACGGGTCTAGAGAGAGAAACACAGGCTTTCGGTTGGACTCATTGAAAGGCTACACTTTAGGAGTACGAGTGAACCGGAAAGAGATGAGAGCTCTCAGTGACTGAAACCTAGCCTCCAGGTAATGCAGCACCTGACCTGTCTTGAGTCTAAGGAAGAGGATATTATACAGAGCCCCAAATTACCTCTAAAGTTTTCATACAAAACATGTGGCATGCATTAAACAATTACCATGCACCCCAGGAAGTACAACTACATCACTGAAAACCAAGAGTAGAAACATAATCGCAAAAACAAAATAAGGAAAGAAAAAATGAAAAAAACTAGACAGTCCCTATAAATAAGCCCACAGAGGTTCCCGTGGGCATTTTCATAAATGAAATTTTAAAATAACTGTATGAGGGGTGCCTGGGTGGCTCAGTTGGTTAGGTGTCCGACTTCGGCTCAGGTCATGATCTCACGGTTCATGGGTTCAAGCCCCACATCAGGCTCTATGCTGACAGCTCAGAGCCTGGAGCCTGTCTTCAGATTCTGTGTCTCCCTCTCTCTCTCTGATCCTCCCCTACTCACGCTGTCTGTCTCTCTCTCTCTCTCTCAAAAATAAATAAAACGTTAATAAATAAATAAAATAACTGTATGATAGAAAATAGAAAACGTGATGAATTTCAGCAGACAACTGGAATGTATATAGAAGAGTCAAATAGCACCTGTATATGTAAAACCTAAAATAACCGAAACACCCAAGAGAAGATTTTAACAGCAGATTGGAAAGAGCCAAAAAGAGCGGATAAGTAGAAAAAAAAATTCAGACTAAAGCATGGGTAGAGATTAGAAAGGATGTAAACACATAAAAGAGGACAGAAACCTAGGGGACATGCCAGAAACATCTGACGCACAAATACCTGCTTTCCCAGATGGAGAGGACAGAGAGACCATGGCAGAAACAGTGTGTGAAGAGTGCATGGCCCATAATTTTCCAAAACTTAGGAGAAACATTTAGGTACAAATTCGGGAAATGCCACTAACCCCAAACGTGATCAAGGGAAACTAAATCCCACTCAGGGACATCAGAGAAAATCTGCTAAAAACCAGCAGCCAAAGAAAAGCCTAAAAGCTGACAGAGCAGAAAGTCACATTATATTCAAATGAGCAAAAGTTAAACTGAACAGTGGCTGACTTCCCAACAGAAAAAAAAAAAAAAGATGAAATCAAAAAGGAGTAAAAACAGGGAATAAAAAGGAATGACATTTTCAGAGTGCTGGAGGAGAATTGCCAACCTAAAATGTTCTCTACAGGGGAAAAAAAGTCTTTCAAAAATGAAAGCAGAAATCGAGACTAGAAAACTCTGCAAGACCAACAACCTACTTTTATCAACAAAGAAATTAGAAGAAAAATAAGAGTTGTGGAGGGGAACTGCTGTGGACTAGAATGTTCGCGTCCCTCCAAAATCCCCATGTTGAAACATAACCTCTGATGTGATAGGAGGAGGAGGCGCTGCCTGTGGGAGGGGGAGCCCTCGTGACGGGATTATTACCCCCATGAAAGTGACCCCGGAGAGCCTCCTCACGCCTCCCACCTCATGAAGACGCAGCCAGAAGACGGCCATCTGCGAACCAGAAGCAGACCCGCCAGACACTGAATCTGCCGGCACCTTGATCCTGACTCCAGCCTCTGGACTGTGAGAAATAAATGTCTCCTGTTTGGACCACCCAATCTCTGGTATTCTAGAATGGACTAAGAGGCTGTAAATAAAAGAGACTTAAAAGATATTGGGAACATTTAGTTCATAGCAGCACTCTCAACAATAGCCAAAACATGGAAAGAGCCTAAGTGTCCATCAACGGGCGAATGGGTCAAGAAGATGTGGTTTATCTATACCATGGAATACTACATGGCAATGAGAAACAATGAAATCTGGCCATGTGTAGCAACCTGGATGGACCTTGAGGGTGTGATGCTGAGCGAAATAAGTCAGGCAGAGAAGGACAAATATCATGTTTGCACATATAGGAGGATTAGGAGGAACTTAACAGAGGACCGTGGGGGAGAAGAAGGGGGGAAATGGTGGGGGAAAGGGAGAGAGGCAAACCATGAGAGACTCTTGAATGCTGACAAAAACTGAGGAATGATGGATGTTGGGGGGAGGGGGGGATGGGCATGGAGGAGGGCACTTGTGGGGATGAGCACTGGGTGTTATATGGAAACCAACTTGACAATAAACTATTTGTAAAAAAAAAAAAAGAAAAAAAGAAAAGAAAGAAATCACACACTTAAAAAAAGATATTGGAAACATTTAATCTGTGTTTACTTGTTGGCAACATGGTTCAATTTAATAAGCTGTTAACATATTTTTGATCTTTTGAGGTAACTGGAAATGTGAACAGTTAACTACCTATGTGATGATAATGAGGAGACTCATTAAATTTAATAATGTGCTTATATTTTGAAAGAGCAGGCCTTATTTGAAAGAGATATGCACAGAGATACATAAGGCTAAAATTACAGATGTCTGGTATTTGCTGTGAATACTAAAGGAGGAAGAAGACCAGATACAAATAAAATGGCTGACATCGAGGTGCTAATTGTTGATGTCAGGTGTGGGCTCACGGGAATTAACTTACACTGGCCCGTTTTTTTATGGGCTCGAAATTCTTTCTAAGATTTTATTTAAAAAAGAGGATGACCTAGAGATATTTTCAGATCAAGAAAAAAAAAAAAACCCAAGAGATGTTGTTACCAGTGGAACCTGGGAAGTTTGCAGGCAACTAGAGAAGGTTTGCCCACGGAAGCAATTTAGTGCAGGGAGTAAAGGAAAAGCAAAGGCAGGAGGAGAAAACATTTCATGTTTCCAAATTCAGTGACCAGCAGGGTGCACAGTCAGAAATCAGGGAGACAAGCATCGTTTCGTGGAATACGGGGAGCTATCAAATTTAACAAGAGGCGTCTGGGCACCTCGCAGTTCTGTTCCTAAAACTCACAAGTGTCTTAAAACTGCCTTTCAGCTCACCGCCTTGTATGAGAACTTAAGTATTCGCAACCAGCAGTTAGAGGAGGAGGTAAAAGACCTAGCAGACAAGAAAGAATCCGTTGCACATTGGGAAGCTCAAATCACAGAAATCATTCAGTGGTGAGTACTCTTTTAAATGGGTTTTTGTGGGTGATTTTGGACGTAGTTGGTGAGAATTCCACAAAGTTAGTAACGTGGGTGGGGGTTTTTTCTTTTTTTATTACTTTGAAAAATAAGTTTCCCTGAGAAGCATCATTTTCTACTGACTTGTCATTGAGTACCGGTCCGTGTTCGTCTAGATTTTCAGTTACTCTCTTTTCCCCAACTGTAACAAGTATCCCGCATCGCTTTCCACAGCTTCGCTGAAAACTGGTGTTTCTTAAGAAAAGGTAATTCTAAGACAGTTGGTCCTTAAAGAACTGAAGAAACTCATTCACTAGCTATAAAAGTTCCTTTCTAAGACCAAAATTGCTGTTTGCGATTATTTTAAGAAGCAGGCAGCCTGGAGAGGAATTTCGAGCCTCAAGACGTTGTGCCACCACTTTCTTTCGTGTACGACAGACTGATTCACACATGGCACCATAAAAACCTCAAGTGGTCACAGGTTCATAGTATCAACTCTTGTTTCAACTCTTAGGGTTTGATTTGGAATAATTACCTTAGTAACTTTCACATTATTTCATTAAGCGATTCTGGCATTTGTAAAAATGTGAATATTTCTGTAGAACATGACGAAAGTTGAATCCAACAGAGACTTTATTTTCTAATGAAAATAGGTAGCTTCACTTTTTATATTCAGCCTTTTGATTCTTCTTGGCACATCATGGATGTTAAATTCGTCTGAAGACAAATAGTTTCTTTATGTATCTATAAACCAGTCATTTCGTGGGAATTTTTTTATACTCTTATTTTGGTTCTTTAAGCATGTTTTTTCCATTTTCCTACCTTATGGCAGATTAGTACCCTCCATCTTAAATGAAATCAGAAGTGAATAAACACTGTCTTTCTAAGAGATCGTACCCAAATGACTCCAGTATTTTGATATAGGCTGAACTACAGAACTCTTGTGTTCACTCACCTTTGGCTTATGAATGTGACTATTTAGTGAAATAAATGAAAATGAATTTCCATTTCTATTCCATAAATGAATAAATTTCCAAACTGTGGAAGTTTAGTTGTGTTCCAAACAGTTAATAATTCATTACTATTTAATTTATGTCCTTGTCATCAAGTCTACATTTCTGAAGCAAAAGCATCCTGATTTTTAGCCAGGCTTATAATATCCAAAATTATGGGCCGCCTGAGTGGCTCGGTTGGTTAAGCATCTGACTCTTGGTTTCGGCTCGGGCCGTGATCTCACAATTCACGGGTTCAAGCCCCGCATCAGGCCCTGTGCTGATTGTGGAGCCTGCTCAGGATTCTCTCTCCCTCCCCCTCCCGGCCCCTCCCCCACTCGAGTGCACACATGCTCTCAAAATAAACTTTAAAAAATAATACCAAAAACTAGGAATCTTAGTTGCTTGAAACTGGTGGTGCCAAAAGCCAAAAAACTATGACTCTTCATAGATAGCTACATTATCATGTAATTGAACTTACAATCAAGCCGTTGCTAAAAATGACTTTACAGAAAACGAAGATGATCTGGCCAAAGCCAGAGTTCCTAGACTGCTGATCTTCTCTAGTGACTGGCAGGAGGAGTTCATGTGGAATGGGAAGTGGTTCCAGTAAAGGAAATAAGCTTTAAATGTGGACTCTGGAAAGGGTTAGTAGGGTGAAAGTTTTCACATGATACCACAAAACACTCATTTTAGACTTTTCACATTCAGGTGAAACGTGCAGAAGAAATCAGGAATGCAAGCAAGTCACTTTACATAAAAGCTGTTATGTAAATATGGGCTAAAATATTAGCTAATTACTAAATACCTAATGGAGTAAAAGACCTACTCCATATTCTCAGACTTCTCACCTACTTGAAAGTAAATCTGGGATATTCTGTTCGTGCTTAAGAAGGTCAGGAGTCTCGGGCTGTTTTGAGTTTTTCCATTTGGTGTGTTAAAAAATGAAGTGATGCCGGGGGCACCTGGGAGGCTCAGTCAGTTAATCGTCTGACTTCAACTCAGGTCATGATCTCACAGTCTGTGGGTTCGAGTCCCTTGTGAGGCTCTGTGCAGACAGCTCAGAGCCTGGAGCCTGCTTTGGATTCTGTGTCTCCTCTTCTCTCCGCCCCTCCCCTGCTCACTCTGTGTCTCTCAAAATAAAGACATAAAAAAAAAAAATGAAGTGATGCTGGAAATAGAAAGATGGCATAACATTTAAAAGTTTAAAAACGAATGTGACTGGATTTGGAGATTAGTTACAAGACTTACATGTAAGTTGCCCTGTGAATTATACTAGACCTCAGACTGGGTGCCTAAGAAAGTTGGGGGTAATCCGTTGCACTTGTGATGTATTTTCTGAAAACCCTGAGGTTAATAGAGTCCTAAACCTAGGTTGACTGAATTGGAGATTTCATATAAAGCAATTGGAAATAAGACAAGTAAAGTTACCACCACACAGTTACCATGAATACTAGGTAAGAATTTGACCTTCATTGATTTATAAGAAGGAGAGAAGGTTTTTGCAAAGGATAATGGCATTGATTAGATGATGCATTAGGAGGACAACTGTCTATACTGGTGTTGGGATGACAGAGGGAAATTGGGGGTAATGAACAAATGGAGGAGACATTCTGGGAGAAAAATCTCTAAGACTAAATTACAAATGAAGGACAAGAGATGACAAAGAATTAGTGCTTCTGAAATTCTGGGTTGGAGAGCTTAAGAAAATGGTGGTATCATTGAAGTAGGAGAGTCAGGGGAAGAAACCAACTTTGAGGAAGATAAAGTCAATTTTGATTGTTTTGAGACTGGGCTCATCTTAAGGCATCTGGGTGCAGATTTCCCGTATGCTTTTGGAAAGATTACAGAAAGGTCAAGGTTAAACATATACATTTAAGGGTTTAATTTCTAGTCAGTAAAGCCATTGACATTGTTGAGATCTTTCTAAAGAGAAAAGGAAGAAGGATATATGGCAGCATATAGAAGACAGAGGACAGCCAGGAAGATGTTTTCATAATCAGCAAAGAGTTTCAATAATAAAACTTTTATTCCCCTTTATTTACACTCACATTATTTGAAATATCTCTCATTCATTAATGTTCACTTGTGTAAAGTAATAGCTTGTACTGATTACAACGTAGTATGTTCCAGGCATTCAGCTGAAAATTCACTTGCACAGTGTTCTCATTTAGTTATCCCAACAGTCCTGCGAGGCAGGATTATTATTCCCATTTCACAGGTGGAATAAGAGAGAGCTAGAAAGGGTAAATGACTTAGTCCAAGTCCTGGAGCTGATGAGCAGTGACCTAGGATTTGAACCCTAGGTCAAAACCCGGTTTGACTCAGAAATCAAGTTCTTAGTCACTCTACTGTGTATGTCCTATTTCCTCAACATTTTAAGGACTGTGTTTTATATATCTTTTCCGTCTCCAAGTATGACCCCACATAATAGTACTAAAAAGTATTTCTAGATTAATTACGGTAAAGAACTTGGGAAGAGAAGACTGGATATGCCAGAAGAACAAAACAGATTGAAACTGGACTTTTGTAGTTGAGGAGTTATTTAATAAACTGTGGTTTCAGCAAAATAGTTGAGTAGAAATCAGACTTCAGAGAGTATGTAGGAGCGAGTGAGGGGTTAAACACTAGAGTAATTAGATATGAGTTGTATCACCATGAGTGGGAGAGGGATGGGGACAGGGACTTTCCCAGATGAGGAAAGGTCCTTACATGTTTAAACCAGCCAGTGGAAATAATGAAATTGAAAACATAAGCAGTGATAGAGAAGGGAATTATTTGTACATAGCAATAATAACTGGGAATCGGAATGCACTTAAATGATTGAGGCAAAGAAAATATGAGGGACTTGCTTATGAAACTTAAGAAAAAAATTAAGAAAATAAGCGTGAGTCAACTTATCCATATGGCCTAGAAGAAAGAGCAAGACAGTGTTGAGCTGGGGGAAGTGAAATTTTAAGGATTTTAGGTTGGAAACAGACAGCAATGATTCTGAAAAGGAATTGTTGTAGGACACCCAGGGCTTTAAGACAGTAATGAATTTCAGCCAACTTGAATCTTTTCCCTTTGATTGTTATTTTATTGACCATTTTAGAAAACAGAGGAGCTTTATTACAAGATAACCCTGATTTTCACAGAATATTCTACTTTAAACTTTCTAAACGTAATGTACTTCAGTACATGTAAAAAGGATGTTTGTTTTCATAAGATAAAAGGGCAGAATCCAATTAATGAGAAATCTTAATATTTGTTAGAAATCATGTAAGTGTGTATGTGTTTAATGTTAGATTAAAAGAGCATTAATTCTGTGGCTCGAGGATGAAATTTTACCAATTTATCAGGTGTAAGTAATTTGAACTTTCCTAAACGTGACCAGCTTTAATTTGTAGATAACAAAACAGTTCAGCAAACCTTTTTGCACTTCTTTCAAAAGCAGGGAAGAAGATATTGAAAGAAGATATTTAAGAATATATTTAAGTTGGGGAAAATGATGGGGTGCCTGGGTGGCTTAGTTGGTTAAACATCCAACTTCGGCTCAGGTCACGATCTCATGTTTTGTGGTTTTGAGCCCTGTGTCAGAGTCTGTGTGTTTCTCTCTCTCTCTCTCTCTCAAAATAATAAATATTTTAAAAAAAAATTTTTAATATAAATTGGGGAAAAGAAGTGATGGGCGTCAAGGAAGACACTTCTTGGGATGAGCACTGAGTGTTGTATGTTAAGCGATGAATCACAAGAACCTACCCCCAAAACCAAGAGCACATATACCCGTGTGTTAGCCAACTTGACAATAAATTATATTTTTTAAAAAAAGAATATGTTTAAATCTTTATCACTTCCACCTATTTCTTGTAGGATGCTTTAGAAACGACATCTGTCTCACCAAAGTGTTTCTGTTTGTTTTACTTTTGTGCTTCGGCCGTATACACGTGTATTCTAGGGTCAGTGACGAAAAGGACGCACGAGGCTATCTTCAGGCCTTGGCTTCCAAAATGACTGAGGAGCTGGAAGCCTTAAGAAACTCCAGCCTGGGTGCGCGAGCAACCGTAAGTTCTGCCGTTCTGCGGGGAGAGTTACCATCTTGGGTGGGTTTGTCTAGGCTTTAGCCTACCGTGCAGTTTCTCACAAGATATCAGTGCGTCCCAAGCCTTGGCCGGTTTGGGAAATCGTAACATCACTGTCTACCCGTCATTTGCAATGGGTAGCCGTTATTGGTAATGACTATGAAAAATAAACCCCTCTCTATGTGAATCTACGCTTATTTCTGAGTTTAATGAAAAAGGATATATCGTCACAAGTCGTGTTTCAGTTGTATTCTGTTACTAGAGAAGGACAGTGCTTTTACGCAGTTTCCAAGTGTATCTGCTGGACCGAATTTGGACGTCGGAGGTAAAGTAGGATGGAAGCTGAAAGCAGTGCTGTCGTTCGGTAGGACATGCCCTGGAAGATGCGTCGCTTTGCCAAACTGGACATGTCGGCGAGACTGGAGTTGCAGTCGGCCCTGGACGCGGAAATAAGAGCTAAACAGGCCATCCAGGAAGAGCTGAATAAAGTTAAAGCCTCGAACATCATCACAGAATGGTACGGTTGGGTAGCAGACTCTACTGGAATAATTTTCAAGTTGGCCTAGAAGTATTTGGGGGGAAGTTCTATGTTTTTTCCTCCCTGTCCCTCTACCAGAGATCTTTTACCAGTGGAGGTTCTCTTGATGAAGAATTTAATAACAGTAAAGTTATTTTAATTACAGTTATTTTTCCTGTTCTTTTATGTATTAAAAAAAAGTCCATCCTCTCCACAGCCTGAGACAATTACCTGATAAATACATTCCTTCAATCCTCAGCAGTGGAGCAAATTATGCTCTGAATAAGTAAATGATAAAATGAAAATCTTAATTAGATGGGATATCAACATGGTTCAAGAATAAGTCCATATCGGTGATACAGAGGAGCAATAGAGAGTTCTTGTTACAAATCAACACATACGTAGAAAAATCCATTTGATCCTGGAAGGCCAAGTCCCAAAGGCATTCGATCATGAAAAGAAACATAGTCCCATAAATTCCGTTTGTAATGGTATGAAGCCTTGGTGCTTAAACTGTAATCATTCACATTCTGAATCCAGCCGGAGGTCAGGCACCCAGCACCCCAGCTGAATGATAAACTCTCGTTATCAATAATCGAGACGTAAATTAAGTGTGCTCTGCTTAAATGTGCTCGTGTGACATGGCAAATGGAAGAAAACATTTTCTGGAGCCGGTGAGTGGATTCTGGCACAGAGAGCTACTGAGTGCCACCCTCCATGTTATCACTGGACCCAGTGTGAGTCTCTTGCCTGAGACGCGGGACTGTGGGCAAAACCAGAAACTGTGGACGTGCTGGTGAAAAGGCTCCACTTTCACGGCTCTCTGTGAAGGAGTCCAACAGAATTCTCAGTCTAACCTTTAGTTTTAGGACATTTGCAAATTTAAATCATTTGGCTCCAGGTCAGCCTCTTCTTTTTTTTTTTTTTTTTAATTTTTTTTAATGTTTTATTTATTTCTAGGAGAGAGAGAGAGAGAGAGTGTGAGCAGGGGAGGGTCAGAGAGAGAGGGAGTCACAGACTGAAACAGGCTCCAGGCTCTGAGCTGGCAGTCAGCACAGAGCCCGACGCGGGGCTCGAACCCACGAACCGCGAGATCGTGACCTAAGCGAAAGTCGGACGCTTAACCGACTAAGCCACCCAGGCGCCCCCAGGTCAGCCTCTTCTATAAAAGACCAGATTCTAGGTATTTTAGGCTTTGTGGGACACATTGTCTCTACTTGCTCAGCTCTGCTGTGGCAGAGCAAAAGCAGCCAGAGACCATCTGGAACGAGGCTGGCCGTGTTCCTGTAAAACTTTACTTGCACAAGAGTAGGTGACCGGCCCGATTTGTCTGTCCCACGGTGGTTTGCACGTCCCCGATCTGACGTGACGTAACCCAAGAAACTCCAACTGCGTACTGACTGCAGGATGGCTTACTGAGCAGTGGTAAAAATAATGACGCTTTTCCTTTTTTTTCCCCCTTATTAAAGTAAACTGAAAGACTCAGAGAAGAAGAACTTGGAGCTACTATCAGAAATCGAGCAGCTAATAAAGGACACTGAAGAGCTTAGATCGGAAAAGGGTATGAGTATGTGTTTTGCCTCCGTCAGGGCTTATTCTGTTACAAACACATTTTATTACACGTGCATCAACATGGTGTGTCGGTTGGAGAGTTCACACGAGCAGCACTGGCACTCACCGATGGATGCGTGTATGCTCACGTCACACACACACACGCACACACACACACGCGCACCCACTAGGCCGGTCCCTGAGTCATTTTATTGTGCTTCATATACATTGTTCACAGTCTTCATAGTAACAGGAAAACTCACTTTGTCATAATTTGGACGGTTTTTCCATAGCCATGAAGTAGTTCACAAGCCATATTTTGGGGATTGGAAAAAAACTGTTATTTGTATAACATATTTTATGCTGTGTTCAGATGTTATAGGGGACTCACTTCCAGGGTACTTGAGGAAACAGTGTATGAAGTAACTGGAGATTAATCCCGCATTAAAAGCAATTCAGTGACGAAGTATTTTGGCGCCTCATTGTTCCCTTCCAGGTTTGGCTCTTAAGCTGTCCGCCCTAGGGGACTTCTCAGGATTATTCCTGTTTTCTTGAAGGCATTGCCTGAGCATTAACGTGAACAGTAACTTACAGTGTGTGGGAGCTCTGTTACAAAGGGACTTCTTAGACTTTCTTTCCATCATGTGGGCATTCCGAATGTGAAGATTTAAAAAAAAAAAAGAAATTCAGAGTGTTATTTCTCAGTGAAGGGATCCTCCTATAGGCAGTTATTAGCAATCTGCCGTCCTGACAAAGTCAGCATTCCTGACTGAACAGCCAGCTAATTAATGTTATGCATACATTATGTCACGCTTCCCTCTGACTTCTCCGCCCTGGGACGCACACTGATGTTAAGGTGGTTGGGTCTCTGCATCTGCTTTTAAAATTGTGGAGGAAAGAGAGGGTATCACGTGAAGGACGGACGTGAAAAAACCATGAAAAGTAGCGGATGTTCCATACACTTTCGTTGATGGAATTTCCTAGTGAACAAGAAAGGAAGGAACCCAGAAAAAGCGAATGAGGAATTCAGATGGAGCACAGGGCTTCTCACCAAAGTGAGACTGAGGCTGGTTTGCAGACATGACTGGTGGAAGGGAGCTGCATTATTTCGGGAGCAGGAGGAAGAGAATGTACGGGACAAGAAGGACCTGTAGCCCTAGAAGCAGTCTGTATAGAAAAGATGCCGCGCAGAGTAGGACTCTGCTGTCACCGGTGGCGTCACATTTAGCCTGCATCTAAACTTACACAAGAAATAAGTTCATTGCATTGCTTTATGACAGCATGTTAGCCTGTCCCTTTTACTTGGATTTTGAACATATTAGAATAACCAAATTTCACTTTATGTTGTAACATAATGTACTCTACTACTTAAATCGTATAATGTGATGTTTAGATGACGAGGCCAAGGATTTTTTTTCTGCCGTGCCTACTAGTGTATCCCAGTTTCTAGATGGGGTTTGTTACCTGAGGGGCTCTCACTAAATGCGTACTGATTGGGTGAAATTCTGAACACGGAGCCTCATCTGGCATCCACGGTGTATTATTAGAGATTAGTGTGAAAACCACACAACTGAGTCGATGTAACTTCTGAAGGATAAGGAACTGTGTGCTTGATTGTGTCCGCTTTTTTCTTGCTGGTATTTATCATTGCCTGTCTATTTTAAGAATTACCTTGGAAATTATGCATTTAAAGTTAACGTCATGGCGAAGAAATCTGCAGAGACTTTTAAAACTTTACCTGAGAAAACCGAGGGTTTGAGTTCCTCGTTTTGTCAAGGAAACAATACCTGAAAATCAGATTGAGGCCTTGACGCAAGAGTTTTCATAACTAAACACACTTGTTTTACCACCATACTATTTTCTTGTAAGAGATCGTGTATGTTAGTGTGTATCGTATGTGCGGTAAGTGTTTCAAAGCAGAACTCTTGTTTGGTGACACATTAGCTAAGGAAAAACAGATATCACCATATTTTAAAGATTTCTCTCGACTCTACCACGATGTAACGTGTTTCTAATAAGGTGCTCTAAGGGAAAAGAACGAAATTCGAGAACTCAAGTCAGGAAACAGGAGTGTCGTGGAGACTGATAATAATCAATTGTTAAGTGATATTTTCAAGAAACACCAATAGAGGTTTTTTTTAACGTAGAGTTAATAGGATTGAGCAGCCTTAAAATATGGTAGTCTGTGAACAGCTCTTAAGAGATTCAGACAGGAAAGGTTATCCATGAGAATTAGTTAAAGTTTTTCTAGTTTTAAAAAAAAGTTGCTGCTTGTCTTCTAGGTATAGAGCACCGAGACTCACGGCATTCTTTCTTGGCATTTTTGAATACGCCTGCCGATGGTGCGGATCCACTTGAAGTAAGTACTGAGCTGCTCAAGTATTCCTGGCATCCCTTTCAGATTCACTTTGTGATTTCAGATTCACTGGCGGTGAACCGGCTTTCTCGCTTCCCACATAAGAGGACCTAGAATCTTCTGTAAACAAAAACATTTTAAAAGAGAATTATGTTCTGTATTCTTACGGAAACTGCGATCACATTTGCATTTAAGAAAAGTCTGAGGAAGGTCTAAATATGAGAGTCGTGAGATTTAAATTTCATCCCTTCCCTTGAGAAACAATAAATGCAGAACAAATCCTGACTTTTGAAATAATGTTGATACTTTTGTTTGTTTGTTTGCTACATGCACTATTATCGCTGTGTCTCCTAATCTGTAGATTTGATACTTTAGAAGTCCCGATGTCATTCACTCTCTTTGCTGAAATACCACCTGTCCGTATTCTCTCGGTTCCACATTAGATGGCGCAGAAGTCCCTGTCATAAAGCATTTCAATGTCCTGTTGAACATTTAACCTTTCTAGAAGCTGGAAAATAAAATGGGCTCATATGCAGATGTTCTGCAGGGAAACGGTTTTTAAACCTGGGGCGACTCTTAGGTTTTCTTTTTTTGTGTTTTGTTAAACATAATTCTTACACTCGGAAGAGTACTTTGCATAATTTTCCACTCAAGAAAACTCCTGATGTAGGTTTAAAAAAAATTTTTAACTGATTTTTCTCTGCCTTGGAAATATTATACCAAAGTGTACTATTTTCCATTCTGAATGGAAACTGTTTCATTATTCTTGAGACGGTCCTACAGTGTAATAAAAAGAGAACTCTTTTGATGGACAACAGTATTTCATGTGATCATCTACTGTATGTTTTACTGTACTAAAATATGCAAGCTGTTATTTCCATCGAAAATACCATTCACGAAAGAAAATGGCAAGGAAGTTTGAATAAGTTCTTTTAATTAAGGTTCCTTCTGTTAGAAAACCGTTTCCATTTTTTTCTTTTTCTTTTTAGTTTTTTTTTTTTTTTAACATTCATTTTTGAGAGAGAGAGAGACAGGGCGTGAGCAGGGGAGGGTCAGAGAGAGAGTAAGACACAGAATCTGAAGCAGGCTCCGGGCTCTGAGTTAGCTGTCAGCACAGAGCCCGACGTGGGTCTCAAACCCAGGAACCGTGAGATCATGACCTGAGCCGAAGTCAGATGCTTAGCCGGGCTGAGCCACCCAGGCACCTCCCACTCACCTCCCTTCTTAGTTCCCTTCTGCTTCCTTTCTTGTCCAGGAATCCGTTGTCACCTGACTGTTGCCTTAGCCCTCTAACCACCTTCCCCACCCCCACCAGCACAGGTCACTGCGCCTTCCCCCCGAATTGTCAAGTCACATCTCCACTGCGTGGTCATTTTTATACGTTGGGGACGAGGCCAGCAGTGCACTCCCCTCTCAGACACAGTTTGTATTCTTCCCATTTTACGGCCTGAAGCTCTGTTTCTGGCTGATAAGTATGACCGCCCTTCCGGAGTCCTCATTCACTCTGTCCGCAAGGCCCTGGGAGGATGAGGGCTTGAAAAATGGTGTAGGCTCCTCAGCACGATTGTTCTTTGTGCCCACGCCCCTCGGAGTGTGATGCGGAGGGCGCCCCCTGCAGGGAGCAGACTCTAGCCCTGAACTAACCCATATGACTCACCCTCGGGTCTTTCTTTTCTGATGTCTGTCTCATTGCTGCAGAAGAGAAACAGGTCACCTTGCGGCCCTGGAACTTGAATCTGCAGCTGCAACGTGTAGGTTCAGGAAGGGACAGAGCCGAGACTGAGCAGGGTCGCAGAAAGCACGTTTTCTTTGGTCCACACACCGTTGACCTCCTCCATCTGCTCGCAGTGGCCTAGCGACCTCATACTGACCTCTGGTGGTTTTTGTTGTTGTGGTGGTGGTGGTGGTTGTTTTTAGCACCAAACCACCCTTCCTTCCCTTCCAGAATCATCGGGGGCTTCCTTGTGTTCAAAATTGTAGTGAACGCTAGAATTTGGGGCAGTTTGGGAAGGCACTCGGAGCAGTTGGTTCCCCTGTAAGTTACCCAGTTTAGACAAGCCTTTCTCCGTGAGCAGAGCTTCTAGGAAGAGCAGCCCTGACAGAAGAGAATTGTAAATAGGTTCCTTCCTTCCCTCTGATTGAGGGATTGAGGCCACGCCTGCTTCTGTGAGTCCGGAGAACTCAGGTGGGCTTTCCTACGTGTCGAATCAGGAACTTCTAAAAGAAAAAGGAACTTGGAAAATACTCAGTGTGTGCTTTTAACCATCTGTCACTGCATTCTCCCATTAGTAAACTTGACAAGTTGCTGTCCCATTAGTGAAGTTTCTGGACTCTCAGTCTCCGGGGACGTCGGGAAGTGGCAATAACGGAGTACGACATTGCTCAGGGCAGATAGAATTAATGTTAATGTTCACAGAAACTGACGTCACTCTAACCACTTGGTCTCTCGGGTCAGGCGTTCCCACGTGTGGTGAGACACGAGTGACGGCAGTAGAAGGGACACCAGGGTAACCTCATCTTCCCTTTCAGCCCCACAACCCAGGCTCACCCTCCAGGTCCCAAACAGGGTGAGGGATGGGTGGAACTCGGCAGCTTGGCCTTTCCCTCGTCTGTTCCCTGCATCCCAGGGGCGAGAAGTCCAGGGATGACCAGACCTCACCTACAAACATCCCATCGTGCTCAGCGCATTTTCTTCTTTTCAAGCAAACCAAAACTAATACCTGGCTTGACCTTATTAAAGGCAATACTAATTTTGACCTTATAAATGAGCCACGTGTTCATTGTATTTGGTAAACAGATCGTCATTTATGAAATCTGTGCCAGATACGTTTTGAGTTTTATTAAATTACAGTTCTACACTCTGTTCATTTGGGCCAAGTTCACAAAAAAATGGGAATTGCCCGTTTACCTGGCAAATGAGAATTTGCCAACTTGCTCTCTGGAGGCTGAGTAGACCAAGGAATCAAAGGTCAGACGTAAAGGAATAGAGTTTGTACAAACAGTCCAACTGTCTGGTCCTCACTGATCCTGGTTTCTTGTATCCCGGAAAATCCCAAGAAGCCAGCAGCTAGTTCTTCTCCTCGTTTTGGCCTCATATTAAAATCTTGCTGAGATGTCCTAAAATATTTAATTTCCCCCCTGCCTCCTGGCTTCTTTCCTTCATCTCTTGCCTTTAGAGATCTCTTGTCTCTCCCCTGGCTTATTCGATATTCTGTCATAACCAGTCACAGAGATCTGAGGCTTGGCCACATTGCGTTAGCTGTATCAGGAAGGCTGATCATTCATGAGAGTCCATGGAAGGCAGAATTTTAAAACCTACATTATCAAGATCTTTTAATCCTATGACCCAAACTAGGCCTCGATCCTTCTGAGAGATTCTGGCATTCCTGATATTTCCTCCTTAGGTTCTTTTTTTAAAAACTTCTGTCCACATATTAAATACAGCCCAACGTGAAACTGTCACATTTCAGGAGATTGTCATATGCAGCCCTTCCCTAATTTAGGCAGTATTGTATCTCCGTGATATACGTAAGGTCTATGTTACATCCTTATATGTGTAGGCAGTCTGGCGGGAAAGACCCCTGAGAGCCTGGGCTTTCTACCTTTAGTCTCCTATTTTAAAAGACCTTTGGAATTCATTAGCTGAGTCTCAAAACCTATAGGACAAAGTACTTCTCTTGGTTTCTTGCTTCCCTCTGTGATCAGCCTGAACATTGTGGTGGCGACTGAGAGACCCCGATGTAACAGGCGTGGTATTAAAGGGTATATAATACATATGAAGGCAGCGTACTGGCTTCCGTGCCCCCATGCCATGAGACCATGCATGTCACTGTAGGAAACCGCAGTTGCGTGGGTGCGTAGAAGAGGGAGTGCGCTGTGCGCTCCTGTAACTGTGTCATCAGGAAGCAGTCTGATTTCCCCTTCTCTGTTGAAAATGGAAAAACAGCCATCTGATTTCTAGGTAACCACTTTGGCGAGAACGTTATCCTTGTGATTTAGTATCATCGTGAGCTTGTACAGTGCCGCCTTTGACCGCGTGTTGTCTGTGTGCACACACGGGTGGTTTTGAGAGACATTTGACTTGTTTTAATGTAGTACAGTGTATTCACTTTGAGCTAGTCCTGCATTTTTTCCTGGATTCAGCACACTCGGCTCTGCTCTAGAAGCGCAGGGATAGCCAGAAAGTGAAGGATTCTCTGTGTTAAGCATTCTAGCACTTTCTGCGTGGTGTAGTACTATACTTTGCACAGTGGGAGCTCCTGAGATCAATCAGATGGAGAAGTAGACGGTGAAATGCTTAGCGTCCTGGTAGGAAAAATAAATCCATAGTTACGTATTGCCCCATGTCAAAAGTGACAAATGCCATAAGCAATACTTAGGTTAAGTAATTGCAGCATTTCAGAATCCTTATGAAGGATTTTTAACTTGAGAGGCTTTATTATGATAAGCATATTACAGTATTTCTTGCCCTTAAGGATCCGAGTCTGATGGAAAAACCATACACGTAAATAAATAATTATCACACGATTGGAGGAAGCACAATAATAAAAGGTATGGACTGTATATCATAGGAGTATAAAGGGCAATACATGACTGAACTAGGCGGCTGCAGAAAGGCTTTCTGAAGGAACCGGTGCCTGAGTGGGGTGCTCGCGGACAGACAAGTGTGGTCCGCAGCGTGCAGGAGGAAGGTGTGCTAGTTGCACACTGGACGAATAACCGAAAACCTGCTTGAGAACCTGCAGGCCTTCTAATCCTGGCTCGCTGGTAACTCTTTGGGATGCAGCGTTCAAGTCCACCCCCACTTCCAGTTCCCTTGAAAGGCATAATCGTTCCTGTTTAGCCATCTACCAGAGTTGTACAGATACCACCGATAATCCGGAATGCTGCTTCTTACCCTTCCAAGTTTTCTCTGGAATCTTCTGTAGCTCCTGTAAATGCCAATTTATAAACTCCTTCCTCTAGGCCCCTCTGCAAATCCTGTACATCCCACCTCCAGCCTC